TATTCATGATAATATGTCTATGAGATTCATCTCTCATCATTTAAACAGTTGTATTGTACACTTTATCTGATATTACACTTTCTTGCATTCTAACTCTTTCTTAGATTCTTTCATGACCTGACAATTCAGACACTTATGAGTGTATATCTGAATGTTCTCAGCCATGCTTGATCAGTATGCTCTTGATTTGAGTATGCTTATGAGTTCAGGGCTTTCTAAGTGACTGAATTCCTTGTACATATAAGTCATTAAGTCATGTCTAAATGAAGGTTCTAGATAGAGAGCTTCTGTGTATTCTAGATTGTGATAAAGCACAACATTATTTTTCAATTTTTTCAGCTTGAAGTTCAGAAGCATCTCTTCTACTACTTTCACAAGATGCTTATCATCTGACATCTTATCATTCTTCAAGTGAGAGATTATGATATTCACTCATTCTGATTCCTTGCATTCTCTCAGTGTGTTTAATATGAATATCTCTTATATCTGATTCATAGAACTCTTACTCATGAAATCAGGTCTGTGACTGATTGTATCAGATATCACTGTGTCTGATCTCTTTCAGTATTTAATATGAAAATTGTACACTTGAAACTCTGAGATTCAATGTGCTAAGTATTTGAAAGATTTTATTATTAATTATAGATAGATAAGACTTTTATGATCTGTGATCACTATTATTGTATGCTTATTATTGATATATCTATCTTATAACATCAGCATGTGCTTAATTACTAGCAATTTCTTTTCATACACTGAGTAATTGAGCTCAGCATCTGATAGTTTTCTATCATCATATATCATCAGATGCAGCTTGCTGTTCTTACTCATCTGTAGAAGAGTGTCTCTGATAGCTCATTTAAATGTGTTCATCTCAATGTAGAAAGGTTTATTATGATCTGATTGAATAAGCACTGAGAATGTTGTTATACATTCTCTCAGTGTGAGAAAAGCCTCTTCATATGTGATATTTCAGATAATTGAACAAAACTTCTTCTTTCACAGATTTGCATCTGTTTCTCTTAAGAGATCTGAGAGTGATACAGATATTTGTATAAAATCCTTAATGAATCTGCAGTAATATGAGACCAACTCAAGAAACTATTATACATGATATATGTTTCTCAGCTGTGATCAATTTGCTATGATATTCAATTTCTCTGAGATGAGATGTATACAGTCATCACTCATTACATGTTCTATGAACTTCAACTCTTCTGTTTCAAACATACACTTGATTAATTTAATATAGAGCTTATACTCTGTCAGAGTTATAAGCACTTTATCAAGATACTTCAGATGTTTGTTATATGAGTTTAAAAAGACTAGAATGTTATTGAGATATATAAGACATGAGATTTCATTCTGTTTATAAAGAATTATATTCATCATTGTTTGAAAGATGACAGGTGCATTTATCAGACTGAATGATATTATCAGAAATTTAAACTTCTCTCATTGTATATTAAATGTGGTTCATGAGACTGACAGTTCATTTACATGAATCTGTCAGTATTCTGAGAGAAGATTAATCTTCAATAGATATCAGGTATTTTCAACTGTATTCAACTGTTGTTGAATTCATGACAGTGAATATTCATTCTTGATTGTAAGCTTGTTAAGTGCTTGATAATTAATACACATTCATCACTCTTCACCCGCCTTTTTCATGAATAGAACTGAAAAGTCTCATGTGCTTGATGAGAATTGTATGAGATTATATTCTAGAAGGTCTGTGATCTGACACTTCTGTTCTTCAAGATGTATTTGTGACAGAGAATATGCATTCTGATTGACTGGTTTTGCATCCCCTGTGTCAATCTCATATACAAATCCTCATTTCAGCAGCAATTTCAGTGAAAGATCTGTTCAGAAGACCTTCTCATACTTCTTCAGAAGCTTCTTCATATGCTTATTCTCTCACATATTCTTTATCTTGATTTTCTTCACTTTCAGGTCTTGTATGACATACAGAATGCTTTCAGATGAGATCTTATAAATTGTTCTCTTTACTTATTAATGTGTAAGCAGATTTAATTCTTCTATATCAGAGATATGAAATGTTCTTCTCATATCAGTTGATAGAATCATATGAATTATTTTCTTTCTATCACTCAACTGTATATGATATATACATCATTGAATCTGCAGATTGAATCTTTGAAATCAATTAAGTCTGAGAATAAGATTGTATTTCACATTCTGCAGCTCTTGCACTTAAATATAGCAAGATCATTCTCTGAAGTGCAAGGAAACTCTTACTTTTACAGATGATATCAAATATCAGTTATCAGATAATCTTATGCATCAGAGATTCTTCACTCAGTAGACTTCTTTCAATCTTCAGATTATATAATTATCAATATATTATATAGAAGCTTCTATATCTGTTAACACTTTTGCAGCTATCTCTCAATTCTTACTCAAGTGCTCTCTATACATTAACATTTCAGATCTTAAGATATTAAGATAAGTGTTCACTTTATTATTCTTATCTGCATCTTATTCAGAAGTCTGCTTCTTCTTTATATTTATAGAATTCAGAGAGTTATCTAACACAGGCATCTCTTTCACTTTGAAGACTTTTCATAGAATATCAGCAACTGCAAGTGTCTCTGAGCTCACTGATTCTGCTAGTTTTTTGACTCTCTTGCTTCTCTTGACTGCATACACTGAGTGTAATTTTTTGCATCATGATTTTGACATCTGCAGTTGAAGCAAGCTTAATACTTATAATATCAAGATTTTCACTCAGAGAATTTCTTTTTCAGAGAATTCAGTGCTTTAGTGATGACATTCAAATCTAGATTCATCACATCTAAGTGTGTGACTTATATCATAGAAGTCTGATTATCTGTTCTCTGCTGAGATATACTCAATTACAGTATTTTCTATTATAATTGACTTACTTGTTTCTGTACAATGAGAATATTATATGCTTTCTTCACTATATCTGACTGTGAGATTAAGCATTTTCATTTCACTTTCAACTCAGATATAAGATCATGAATAAAGATCTATAAACAGAAAGATGTTGAAAGCTCTTCATTCAATATGAGATAGTATAAGCTGAAGTGTGTGAAGTATAATATAAGATTATCTACTTATCTACACTCTATGAAGTGTTTATAACACTTGTTTTATATATTCACTTTCTCAAAGTTGTACAAGATTCATTTGAAAAACTCATTTTATGTTTATGAAAATGAATATTACTCTGAGTCTGTGAGATTCATCTTTTTATCAGTTATTTATAATGACTTTACTTTTCTGTATAGAAATATGACAGATCTTAAAACTTGTTAAAATTCTGTTAACTGTCTGTCTGTGAGTTCATATTCAATCTGATAATATAATTGTATCTGACTTAGTCAGCTGATTGCAGCATCATTTTTTCAGTCATCATTGAAGCTTAGTAACTTCAGCAGATCTCTTAGCTTGATGTATCTTATACTTGAATTCTCATTCTGCACAGTGATCTCTGATGATGTGTACACTTCTGAAGAGATTGTGAACAATTATAATAAGATCTTCAGATTCAGTATAGTTATCTATCTGTGTAAACATTCAATCTTCTGCTGCAGATCTAAGATCTGGTTTTCTCTATTCTTATTGATGATGATAATTGCATCAGTGAAGCTCTTTATAGTGAATACTTAGTCTGCAGTGAATACTAATTATTATTTGACTTCTGTCTCAGTCTGTCACTGTGTATGCAAGACCTCAATCTTGTTTAGAATTCTTATATATGTATAAAGCTTTGATTTCAGTTCAGCTGTCTTAACTGCTTTTCTTACTGTTTTAAGTAATCTCTCTGAGAGATTCTGCATATCTTCTAGTTCAGGTAGCAGAGAAGAGTGTTATTTATATCAGCTAGAGAAGATATTCATTTCAGTGGTTTTTCATTGATTGTATGATATCTATTATTATATCACTATATCACTGTATTACTATATCATTATATGATTTCTGTTATCATTGTATGACTCTGATGATGATCACTTCTCTCTTTTATTCTTCTTTTGAGTAGAGAGCAGACTTCTTTGAATCTGGTTCACTGCTCTCATTCTCTTTCTCACATCTCATCTGTTCACATCTCATATGTGGCATTCACCTGAGTGTGAAGTTTTCCCTTAATAAGTGAAGCAGCATCAATCAGATACTCTTCTACTCACTGCTCTTCATATACTATCTTTTGAGATATTCTAGAACCACACTGACATGATAACTATGAATCACTTTGTAGATGAAATTATCATGCTCTGGAGAAGCCTGTGCTTCTCACCAGTTTTTAGACATACTATCAGATGTGATTCAAAGGTTGCTTAAGTCAGTGTACAATTACAGGCGTACGCCGGCTTCTTATATATTGAATCTTGTACGCTAAATTAATTAGTGGCCGCTAGGGCCCCCTTTACATTCGTACGCTAGTAGTTTGGAAGCGGCCGCGTTATTATCCGACGGTCGTACGTTCTTCCGAACCACAGTAAAAAACTATTTCTAAGATCTTTTTTTTTTATTGCATTAACTGCTGCAGAAGAATGAGATAGAAACTGCTAAGATATACACTACTGTATACTCTCTACCAAGACTTTCCCTCTTCAGAGTCTTGATATTATAGAGAATATAAGTCTGTTTCTATATAATAATGTAAATATTGCCAGCAGGATGTAGAGGAACTGGTTATTTATATCTCAAAATAGAAGACTTTGTCAATGATTATATCAATATAGAGTTAATTCTCAAATTCAATAGAAATCTAGTGTTGCTGTTCTCAATCCCTTGCAGAATCTATTGAATATTAAGGTATTAAAACTAGATTTAATATATCTCACTGTGCAGGGATCAAAGGCTCAGTCAGACCTTGGAGTATACTGATTTTATAGTTGTTGTGTCTGCCAATTATGTATCGAGTACAGTTGCTGAGGTATCTTTTTGTACTTTTCTGTCGGGGATGGGCCAGGTTGAGAGGGGTGGTACAAGGGTGAGACTTGGCGTTGATGTCTAGATACAATACGCTGAAGACAGACCACGGAGGTTGCACTTCAGAAGTGGCTGTTGATTATGTGCTTGATATTATCGCCGAGGTATCTTTTTGTATTTTTCTGCCGGGGATGGGCCAGATTGGGAAGGGCGGTACGAGGGTGAGACTTGGTGTTGGTGTTTTGGAACATCAAAGATGGACAGGGTTTTCGCGGAGGTCGCTCCTCAGATATCTCCACAACTACAGATCGGGAATCTTCCAAAATCGAGAAGATTGGTGCATATGGCTAGGTCTCTTCACCTTACAATTTGTATGGCAATTTGGCCCGGGGTTGTGGTGTGGTAGGGGAGAATGGGGGATAATCCCACGCAGGAGTTCCGAACGATGTCTGGTTCACGTTTGGCTGGATAACTCCACCACCACACGGGGTATGCGGTCGGCGATGGGGTCAAAATGCTCGTATGATCGAGGGCTTTTCGATGGATCTATCGGCGGGTTCTTATTCGAAAAATCGAGCGAGTTCGTGGTGGAGCGGTTGCTTGATATCTGATCTGTAACTTATTAACACTGCTGTCTCTGTCTTCAATCTGATATAAATAACACTCTTCTCTGCTATCTGAATTAGAAGATATGTAGAATCTCTTAGAGAGTTTACTTAAAGTAGTAAGAAAAATAACTAAGACTGCTGAACTGAAATTGAAGCTCTATATATATATAAGAATTCTAAAAGAGATTGAGATCTTGTGTACACAGTAACAAACTGAGATGAAAGTTAAATAACAATTAATATTCACTGCAGATCAAGTATTCACTATAAAGAGCTTCAGTAATCTAATTATCATTATTAATAAGAATAAAGAAAATCAGGTTGTAGATCTACAGCAGAAGATTAAATATTTATACAGATAAAAAATTATACTAAATCTGAAGATTTTACTATAATTATTTATAATCTCTTTAAAAGTATACACATTATCAGAGATCACTGTGCAGAATGAAAATTTAAATATGAAATATATTAAGCTGAGAGATCTTCTGAAACTATTAAGCTTTAATAATAACTGAAAAAATAATGCTGTAATCAGCTGACTAAGTCAGATATAATTATATTATTAAATTAAATATAAACTTATAGATAGACAGTTAACAGATTTTTAATAAGTTTTAAGATTTGCTATATTTCTATACAGAAAAGTGAAGTTATTATAAATAACTGATAAAAAGATAAATCTTACAGACTCAGAATAATATTCATTCTTATAAATATAAAATGAGTTTTTCAAATAAATCTTACATAACTTTGAGAAAGTGAATATATAAGATAAGTGTTATAAATACTTTACTGAGTGTAGATAAGTAAGTAATCTTATATTATACTTTATACACTTCAGCTTATACTATCTTATATTAAATGAAGAGCTTTTAATATCTTTCTATTTACAGATCTTTATTTACAATCTTATATCTAAGTTAAGAGTAGAATGAAAATACTTAATTTTATAATCAGATACAGTGAAGAAAGCATATAATATTCTCATTGTATAGAAATAAGTAAGTCAATTATAATAAAAAATACTGCAATTAAGTATATCTTAATAAAGAATGAATAATCAGACTTCTATAATATAAGTGTAATAAGCTGCGTCTGATCAATTATATAGACTATTTTATTACACTTTACAGATTACAGATTTCTATCACTTCATTCTTAATCACTGATTCTCAATCATCAATTCTCAGCTACTATAAATGTGTATAAATTCTTTCACTCTGAAGCTTCACTGTGTATATCACTATATATGTGTATAAATATTCACTTTGATCACTGATTCTCGCACTTTCTCTTTCTTTTTCTTCTTTAATGTCTTTCACTTTATTATATAAGATCTATAAATATTATACTGATTCATTCAGTGTAGATCTCTTATACTTAAAAAACATTCATTATCTTCTCATTAGAAATGATTATTCATTGAGAAGATATCTGAATGTGTAACAACATATAAGAAAGAGAAATAATCAGTTAAAGTAGATACTGAGTTCTTAGATAGAAGCTTACTCATCAGTTGCTCTGACTCTGTAATAAGATCTTATAAGAGAACAAGATCTTATAAAGAGAATGTCAGTGAAAGATCTGAGAGTTCTGACATCTCAGATATATGAGATATTTATATAATTACACTTCTTTAAATTTCACAAATATTACATATCTGATAAATGATATAATCATATCTAATAATAATATGAGAGAACTCTTGAACATGAATATAGAAGTAATATTACAGTGGCTTTAAGCAATGTTAAAATTACAACAGTAATAGATAGCTAATATACATACAACTCAACAACTCTAATATGAGAAAATTCAATAATTAATTCAATAGAGAACTCATGCAACTTCAGCATCTATAGAATTAAATATAAAAGTACTGAAAGAACACTTAGATACTTCTGTATATTTTAATACTATTAATCTCACACTCTACTCATCATGAAGAATGAAAATACTCATGAAACTGAGTATAGATAAAGATGTCATCAGTTTATTAATTAATCAAGATTAATATATTAATGAATAATTGAAGAATTGTATGAAACAGAAGTTTCATTTATAAATAAAAGCATGTGAATCAGCATTGCAAATGTCTGATAATATCATCAAATATCTTGATATTCTGTTTCAAGACACTGTTATATAATAGAAAGTATTAGATTAGTTACAGAGTATCTGACAGAGAAACACTTCTCTCACAACATTTATTCCTGACTTTGACACTCAGATCTTAGAAGTAGGTGATCAATCTTGAGAGAATCAAATGAAGATTAACATACTCAAGAAGACATTGACTTTCAAACTCTTATATACTCTTATAAGTGTAAACAAAGACCTGACTTATAAAGACTTCTGCATATAACTCAGAACATTGAATAATCATCTTATCAAGTTCAGGAGTATACAGAACAGTAATAGAAGATGTTACATTACTTATACATCTACACTGAAGAATAACAATAATAATGCAGATATTATAAACTGAGTAGATTTAAATATCTATATATAAGTAAGAGTTTTCACTATCTGAACAGGCTTCTGAGTTTCTGAAATCACTTCTGAAGAAGTCACTAATTAATATTAACATGAAGTATACATCAATTATAATCAATCAGAACATATTACTTTTCACTGCTAATTAATCTATATATTTTCTCACTTAAGAGAAAGATCAGTATCTTCTCACTTAAGAGAAAGATTAGTATCTTCTCACTCAAAGAATGAATCAGCATCTGTCTGTATCAATCACATTATAGTAGAGAAAGATTCAGAGAATAACTATAAGAATATCTCAATGAAACAGGGAAAAGATTAACTTCTGTTTAAATTCATAAATAGAAGCTTAAAGAGATTAGATAATAATAATTTGAAGAAAAAATAACAATGAATGCAATTCTTGTATCTACTATGAACAATAATATATATAATATGAAAGTCATGATAGACAGCAGTCTATGTTATTATACAATAATTAAATCTTCAGTTATAAAATATTACAATCTTCAGTGTATTCTCTTATCAAAATTCTAAGTTCTCACAGAATTTGATGACTCAAAAGACATTTATACTCATTACATGATGAAGTTGACTATAGATGTTAAAGAATATTAATATAAAGATGTTTATATATACAAAGTTAATAATCTCAATTATAATCTTATGTTAGAACTTGTCTGACTATCTGAATAAAGCATCTTACTAGACACTTGAAACAGAAGCTTAATATTTCTCAATAATGATAGAATTCACAAAGATGATATTTATAAAATCATGAATCTGATACAGATCTCTATCAATATGTATAAAATACTCTGAAAAAGAAGTTGTTAACAGAATCACTGATAAAATCATTAATAGTAGAATTATATAATAATCTACTCTGTCAGTCTGATCAATATTAAAAAGACTCTAGAAAAGTTATTCTATATTATAATAACAGATTATTATACAAAACTCTCTTAATAATATCACAAATATCTAGATATCTTTTAATAAGATAATATTATAAATATATCTCTCTTATGAGGCTCAGAAGTGAACCACAGTATCGCCCCGGTGGCCGAATGATTAATGCGGCCACCTGGTAGCGCCTTGGCGTGGGAAACCAAGGCGCGTGGGTTCGAAACCCGCAGGGATACATTAAATCCGGAACTCAAGCACCTCAGGTTTCTAATAAATACAGAGGTGTACAAATCGCTCCAATGAATCGCTCTATGTTCCTGGGCTGGGAAGTTATTATCGCATGTATCTAATTGTCACTCCTTTGTATTTTTCTATGTTCTTGTTATCTTGGTGTGGTCTCAACACCTGTATTTCCTCCTGTATAATCAACACTTGACCTGTATTTAACATCACGCAAGGACTCATCATAAGCTCCGCTTGCATATGAGTATAATGGAAGAATAATAATAATAATAATAAAGAACCACAGTATTAAATTAGAAAAGAAGAATAATAAAGACTCTGAATTATTATAAGATCTTCTTTATAACATGTTCTGAGATGAACTTCTTCTTCTTTGAAAGACACTCAATGATCTGTTGAATAAAGAATTTATATATATTAATAACTCTTCTACTGTAGTCTCTATTCTCTTTGCAAAAAAACCAGATAAAGAACTTCAATTCTGTGTGAACTATTAAGAACTGAATAGATTAATAAAGAAGAACTACTATTCTTTATCTCTTATCAATGAAACTCTAGCTCATATTGAACAAGCTCAATGATTTATAAAGTTAGATATTATTATCACATTTCATAAGATTTATATCACTGAAGAAGATGAGTAATTTATAGTATTCTGAACATAATATGATCTTTTTGAATGAGTAGTTACACTCTTCAGACTGATCAACACTCTCAGTATATTTCAGAAGTATATTAACTGAGCACTTCAAGATTTTATTAATAAATTTATATCTATATATCTTGATAACATTCTCATCTTCACTGATGAGTTCAGAAAAGAATATCAAGAACATGTATAAAAGATATTATAATAACTATAAGAAGCAGAACTATCAATAGATATTGATAAGTATGATTTTGAAGTCAAGAGTATTAAATATCTGAGTTTTATTATAGAAGCTGATAAGAAAATTCAAATGAATTCTGAGAAAGTCTTTGTCATTCTTGAATGAGAAGCTCTGTATACTGTGAAAGATATACAAAGCTTTATTAGATTTACTAACTTCTATCAGTGATTTATATGAAACTTCTCAGATATTACAAGATCACTTACAGAACTTATTAAGAAGAACTCAGTATTTCAGTGATCAGCAGATATCAAAGCTGCATTTATACAGATAAAGAAGATATTCATTAACATCTCTCTACTAATAATATTTAATTCTGATTATAAAACAGTTGTTGAAGCTGATTTCTCTAACTATATAATAAAAGAAGCTATATTATAATATAATGATGAAGATATTCTACAATTATATATTTTCATATCTAAGACACTGAGTCTCACTGAATACAATTATAAGATCTAT